TAGCGACAGAGTAGACAGAGCCAGCRKAGCCGACAAGCGACCAGTGGAGAGTGGCGTGRCGAGGTGAGCGGSAGTAAGCGGAAGCAACAAATCACCAGCACATTGGCTTGGGCCCTTTTCGCCTGGTAAGCCTTTAAACTGTTGTAAATATGCCAAAGTGAAAAGGAAGTGYAAGGAAAATCAAGATTTATGTGCGAAAGGCGGATTAAGCGACACATTTACACGAGCCGGAAAGACTTGCAAAGACACACACACATCCACACGACGCACGTACATGGCACAAAGCCGTATATGCCTGTGCGTATGTGTGGACGTATGTAGGTAGCAGCAAATGCGTTGACAGCAAAGCCTGCCGGAGAAGCTTTATGTAAAAGCCACTTTTATATTGGCAAATATTCCTGAACGACACATATGCCTTTGTAGGTGTGTGCTTGTATTTGTGGTTGAAGTTGTGGCACGCAATGGAATTCAGTGTAAGTGAGGCAAGAACTTCCGAGTCATTAACCCGTTAATGTGTAAACGAGTGCAAGTGGAGCGTTCGCATAGCCACAAAATAGCAGAAAAAGAATATTACACTTGTAGACGGCATGTGTGCCGCGAAGAAAAGTGTAAATTCTCAAAAAATAAACAAAACAGTAACACTGTGCGACAAATTAATGTTCCAGGAGGGCAAACATTTTTGAAATTTTTAATATAACATCTCAATTTTCGGAACTAGCGATCGGGTAAGGAAAACTTTTTTTTATTTAATGATGAAACTTTCCAAAAATTGTCAGGGAGTCATACTCAAAATATCCGAGGAAATTATTCAGATCACTATAGCATGTAGCTTTCATACAATCTGATTGATGAAAGTTTTTTAAAAAGCGTTTGTATTTGTGAAAAGAAAATTGGGGATGAAGTCATTTGAAGTTCACGCATGTGAGAAAAGTTATCTGGCGCATTTCATCCGTTTGAAGATGAACTAAAGTGAAAAGACAAATCATTCCTTCCCAAAGGTTGTGCACTGCGTTTGGAAACCGCCAAAGTTACAAGTATGTGGTACTTTTCTGAATTTTAACCCTATTTCCAAAGCTCTATGGAACACTTTGAAAGAATTTCGTTTTTTCATTGTTTTGTGATTTTTTCGCCATTTTAGGCAAACTGTTTCTTATACCACCTACGCCTGAAAATAGGGTAAAATGAGCGAGTAAACTATAAAAAGCAACAGTGTGTAAAAAATTTTATGGGTTCATCAAACTGTATCAGCCACGACGCAAGCAGCAGACGAAGGAAATGAGGATACATTTCCAAAATATTTATCTACATAGTATATATATACATGATCTTATGGTATGTTCATAGTTTGCAAATGGAAGGAGTAAATGGGCAACATATGCAAAATGATGCGGGCTTTGGTGTGATAAAGACCGAATAATATACTTGGATGCGAGAAAAGTAATTTGCAGACACACTTCTGCTYTRCACTCACACACCAACACACATGCAASTGTACTTCCGTATTTTTATGTTGAATCGAGAGCGTCCCGAATGTCCGAACTACTCCCTACTTATTTGGATGTGTGTGGGTGAGGGCGTACAGTTCATTGTATGACACATCCGGTTTGCGCTGTCGACATTGTTAGTTAGGCGCGTGGGTGCAATAAACAGGAAATAAATGCTATTTGAGGCATAAAACTTTATATGTGCCACATAGTATTCGTAATAGAAGCATAAAATATAGAGAACAGAGTCGAATCGGAAAGTCGAATTATTAAAGCGACACAAGCATTAGCCAGCATATACGCGGATCCACCGGAAATGAAGAAACTTGGAAGTACATTAATAGAAATGAAGTCTGTAAAGAGGAAAGTAAGTAAAACAAAGCTAAAGACGAATGTCAAAGTAAATTGGAAGTAAGTGAAAATGGTATTGGATTTTTTTTTATTACAATTACTTCAGTCTTTAAGTTACGTTAACGATTACGATATCATTCTATGATGGTTTAGTGGAAGAAATGTGACTTTAACTATGATTTTCAACTAGAGTCAAGAAAAGCTAAGATGCCATCTTAAGGCTAATGTTATATAGTACTTTTCTAATTAATAATAAATTATAAAAATATTCAAATGAAAGATATGAAGATTACGACATTTTACTATAAAAAGGGTTAAGTCGCGATAGTAACGTTCATGTAACGATACTCTGCTTGTTGCCTAATAAATCCCCACAGAAGCTATGCTCCACAACTTAGGTTGGGCTAGTTTAGATTAAACTATCATTTAAGCAAGTAGTTTTTGAACTTTTAACCCATTTGGTTGAAGCTGCATATTCAACTTTTCAAATTTATTTTTTATCTTTTTATTCAAACTCGTTCTTTTCCAAACTTCATTTCATCAAAGTTTWGAAAGTCCATCTTCAATATGAGAGATTAGATTGGGCCAAGTTAGGTTCTTTGGTTCATTCCTAAGTTGAGACAAACACTTGGAGTGACAAAACAAGTATTTTGTGGAACTTGAGAAATACTTTTCTTAAGCTGTATTTCAGGTACCGACAAAGCACCGTGAACACGCAGCCATAAATTTGCTTTAGCTACTCAGCTTCTTACTATTGATATTGTGAGGTTTAGGCATTTCAACATTGATCACCCGCCTGAAATAATTCTATTGAAGTGATGTATATTCGAGTACTGAAAACTGAAAACTCTTTAAGTGTGTGGTGTTCTTGTAAGTACAATAACTAAGTGCAGGGGTACTCACACCGTAGCTCACTAGATTCACTTCGCTCAATTTGGTTTCCARCACCATCACTTAAAGCAACCACAGACACATAAATAGTTCCAACAAGCAGATTGATTAGTACTGACATCGTGAGGGTACAAGGAAYTATCATGTTTTCTTGCTAGTTCAGTAGAAATATAGTTTTTCGATGAAATATTTGTGTCCATAACGAAAACTCATTTGTTGTAATTTATTTTGGTGCTTTTGCCTTCGGAGTTAAATTTTTTGGTCAAACATTGAGTGCTGGGGTTTTAACATATGTTGCCTTATGCTTGTGCTTTTGCATGTAATTTTTCTTCCTTTAACTTCGCTTTAACGATAAATGTAGTAGTTATGCATTTTGAGTACTAGGCATTTTATTTCATCTGCCCGTTATTTTGTAGTAGCAGATGTAAAAAAGAATCTTCTTAGAAAGTTTACCAAAGTTATTTATATATTTTTAAATTTGTCACAGTGTAATGATTTCAACAGTCGTAAGACCTAGCTCATTTAACTTTGGCGCTAAACTGCGCCATTTTGRTAGCCTATTCACAATAAAAAATCTGAAATTTTGGCTTTTTTTTATAGATTTTAAGTCAAAATAAGTTCTCTTCCGTAATGMTTTGAATTAAAAAAATGCAGTCTCTTTAGGGCAAAACAAGGTAAGTTGACAATAAACTYCCTGAAAGAGAATAAATTAAAAAGYCCAAAAATGTMGATTTTTAAATGTTTCACATAGATTTTGAAGTTATGTGCTGTTATTGCAAAAGTTTTTGAATTGCCTACAATTTTTCTATATAACATTTTTCTAAATATCTCGAACTGGAAATCGAGGTAAACCCTYTTAATCCCTTACAAATTTAACCACTTTCCACGCTTTCTTTTTCCCCACTTCAGTTCCCCGCTAAATTTTCTTTTATATTTCTTATTTTTTCTTTCATTTCCAATGGGGTTCTTTTTACTACGATTTTTTTTTTTTGTTTTGGCTTAGTGAGAATAAATTAACCGAAATTGTACTTATCTGAAGTTTGAGGTATTAGCTTTTAGAAATATAATAACGAAATATATCAAACCGCTTCATATTACAAGAAAAGCATAAAAATCGCACTTGTCTTCTAACTGAACACACACGTCTTTAAAAGCTCCGTCTAAGTTAGTTACGAGTATGAAACACCATTTTACTAAATAAACATTCATAATTTGTAATAATGTTTGGCGTCATAACTTTGTACTCTGCGAGAGCAAATATTAAATGCTTCCCTGCCCGGGACTGGCATACAAAGTAGACAAACTGTTGTGTGTTATTGATAATAGCTACATTTTCATGGACTTAAATGCAAATGTGTATTATTGCAAAAGACAAATAAACTCACACAAAGTGGGCGAACACAGCCGAATTTCTTCGCTACAAAGTTAATGTTATTTCTKTGGTTTGGCAACAAATATCCTACGTGTCTGCTTCGGACAGACACAAAAAGCCGTCACGCCCTCKCTGCAGATGCCACACATGTGACTGTGTGTGCTCTGGGTACGTGTGTATGTGTATTTGTGTACCGCTCATTGTTTTTATTTGCTACACGCAACGGCTGCGGCTAACAACTACATAAACACTGGCACCCAGAAACACGCACACATACAAGAGTGGCACGACCGCGTGCGTATAATGTCATGTATTTGGGTTTGTAAACAACTACAAAGGCTGGCGGGGTAGTWTGGAGCAATTGCCTCATAAATTTGCATATGAGTACACAATCCACACAGGCGCACTCGCATGTATACAAATGTTGAAGAAGCTCAAGCTCACAGCTGTAGGCTCAAATAGCCGCATCTGCATGTAAATAGGCAATCGCATGTTTGCATGTGTGTTGCTGTGTGCGTGTATGTGCTTGACGGTGTTTGCGTAATGCGGTAATGTTGTCGACATCGACATTATCCTTAAATRGTAAACATGCCAACACGACTGATTCTTGTCTGCCAGTCAACACCGACAGTACGCGGCAGTTGGCGCTTGGTACCGCTGCTGCCTTGCGGTTATTTATGCTAGTGTTTATGTTTGTGTATCTGTTTTATACATAGATTTAATATGCGAACATACATGCGGTTCAAATGTAATCGATATCAAAAGTATCGATAGACAATCTGCTAATTCCAACTTGAAAAAATTAAATTTATATACTCGTATTACTCAARGCTAGCGGGAGTAAAACTTAAAATTTTCAGTTATTGCAAGAAAATATTATTATTGAGTTATTGAGGTCTTACCTCGTTTTATCCTTCGTCAGTGAGGAGCTTAAAATAAAAAGAAATATAGATATTTAATTAGTTTGTAAAAATAGTTGAAAACCTAGAAAGTATAAGTATAAGTATAAGTATAAGTATAAGTATAAGTATAAGTATAAGTATAAGTATAAGTATAAGTATAAGTATAAGTATAAGTATAAGTA